CCTACGTTCTGCATATACCTGATGGTGCAGATAATATAGTTTTTATTAATATAGTATAAAAAAGTGTCTTTATTTTATTTTGTGAGATAGCATTTGCAAAAAATATAGGTAATAAATAATAATATAAATTATAATACTCCACTTCAAAATATATGGAAAACACTGTTAAAGGCGTTCCGACATCGCTATACGGATTCATAAGTCAAAACAATATTGAAATTATATACTTATCAGACAAAAATTTGTATTCAATTTATTATTTAAAAACCAGTAATTATTAAAAATTATTGCATAAATCCTTATATAAACAAAACAACATTTTGGATGTACTTATATTGGCTTTTTGTAATAAAACGTACCTATATAGATGGTGAATTTATTCGAGTAATAGGTCAAATGAAAACATTAACCTATAAGTTGAGGGTGTTAGAGAAAGTTTATTCGTTTTCTAAAGGTATATATGAGTATATTATGATAGAGCTGCCAAAAAAAAATTGTTATAGGGCAATATGTGTAATTAATAGAAAGAAATAAGTGGGGAACAAATGCGAGTTTAAATAAAACACGGACACCATATGACTGAGTATGGCTAAGTTTAGTGTTTCGCTAGCCGATACTTATTGTATTTTTAAACCTCCAAGATCCGAGAACCACAAGCAGCTTGAGCCCAGTAGCTCAGTAGTGTTCACCTTCTCTTGGCATTAATAACGACTACAGAAAACAAACAAAATGGTTAGTACACGTCTCTATATTACCTAATATTTTAAACTTCTTCTTAAATAAGTTAAACTCAATTGTTTAAAATAACTAATAGGTACGTTTTAATAATTGAAACAATAAACTATGATGCGTAGACTGACTTCACTTACTTGAATAATCTTTATATAGTATACATATTGTATTATAATAGATAATATTAAGTCAAGTATAATATATTGAATACAGAATATACCATATTAAATACATTCTATAATTATAGGTATTTATATAAGCATTAGAGGTTTCGTTAATTTTTATGTAATTATAATAATTAATTATTATTATAGTTTTATTAAATTATATCTTGTGCGTTTTAAGATAAAGGGTACAACTAAACAATAATACTATAAAATAATTAAGTATTTTATTTTAAATTTCATATTAAAAAAACCCCGTTTTTTAAATAAACGCTCGTTCAATTCGATTGTAAAAAATAATAAGAAGAAATTAAGAACGAAGAAGTTCTATTAAATTGTATTAATCTTTTTACAAAATTAATTTTTTTAAATTATTTTTAAATAAATCATAGAAATTAAATGCTTTAAAAAGGCATAAATACGAATATTTGTTTTAAAAATGTATTGAAATATTTGGTTATTCATAAATTAGGTAGGTACTTAAACCTAATCGAATGTTTAATATATTTTTTTAATCGGTCTTAATCGATTAAATTATATCCAACAACTTGGCCATTAGTGTTACACGAATTCACATTTTACACATTACACATTTTGTTCGTAAATAGTCTAAGACCATTAGTCTAATGTTTATAGTTTTCTAAAAATATCTATTTTTTTTATTTATTGTATTATGCTAAACATCAACAAATGTTACTATGTACCTACTATATAAGTAATAATTGTAAAACAAAATATATTTGCAAATTTCTGTCAATCAACTAACCAATCTGTTTAACCTAATTGTAAAAATCATTTAAATTAGAGTATTAATTATGATAATAATTACTATGAAATATTTCTATACTAATGTATACCAAATTTGAAATGTTGACAATGTTGTCCTTAAATAAAAAAACGTCATATTATGTAACTAATTCAAGCATATTACATTTTTGTTTTAAATTGGAATTTTTAAACATGTTAGATCAAGTATAAAGTTGGCAATAAGTTTTGTTCATTATCTGGACTTAGCTAGATTTAAATTTAGAATATGGCACCGTACATGACATCACATTGGCAAGTTCTCAAATTTTGTTGTAGGTATTTCTAAAGTTAGGAATTTCATTGAACTCATCTGCATGTAGGCTGAAATAATAATAGAGGAGACTATAAAAACAAAAATTATAAAATATAAAATATGCTGTTCAATAATATATTGCCAGAAAATAAGATATGCAATATTAATGCTTTCGTGTTTTAATATTTAACTTATTCAAATTCAGGTATAGCATCTTTCATATTGGAGGTGTGTTTAAATTATAGTAAAGTAGTTGTAAATTGTAATAAGTAATTTCCAAAAGATGTTATAGTTATGTTTTTTAATACTTCTGTCTTTTTATAAATATTCGTGCAATTATTTTTTTATAATTAATTATGTGGATATCTAAATATATCTTGTACAGTTGTACCAAATAATAATAAACAGTTCTTCAGTTGAATTTTTTGGAATATTATTCAGTAAATATTATGTGATGATTTTAAATCAAATATTTCATTAATATTTTCTTTGATAGACTTAACACATAAATATTATAAACTTACATTATTTATTAAGGCTGACAAAGAGAAGGTAAAGAAGAAGAAGGTAAAGAAGGAAGAACCAAAAGAATCCGCACCAGCGGAAGAAGCACCAGCACCAGCACCAGTCGCTGAACCCGAAGCACCTCCTTCTCATTCCAGCACAAAACACAGCAGCCGTAAAAGTTCATCCAAAAAAGTCCGCAGGTCTGGCAGTAATGTGTTCTCTATGTTCACAACCCAACAAGTGGCCGAATTCAAAGAGGTAATAATATAGTCTAATCTGTTAAATGTATATAATCACCTAGCCTTCAGAGTATCTGTGATCTATAAATTACTATCTTATAATTTGTATAATTCATTAAACAGGGTTTCTCGATGATGGACTGGGATAAAGATGGTATTTTGGGCAAAGAGGACTTGAGAGCCACTTGGGACAAAGTAGGCAAGTTAGTCACAGACCCTGAACTCGAAGCTATGTTAAGCGAAGCTTCTGGCCCAGTTAACTTCACCCAACTTTTGACCTTGTTTGCAGCTAGGATGTCTGAAGGAGGTCAGTGAACTTTTAATGTTTTCAATAAGATTTGATATTATATTATTATTTATTATAACATAAATTAATATCGTAATTCGTTGTATTTATTAGGTCAAACCGACGATGATGAGACTGTTATTGCTGCCATCAAGTCATTCGATGACAATGGTAAAATTGACAGCGACAAGTAAGTACTTATATATACATAATAGATTTTAAATGTCTAAATTTCAAAATTTTAATCGGTTATTGTATTTTTAGGCTGAGGTATGGTCTATTGAACTGGGGTGACAAATTCTCCGCCCAAGAAGTCAAAGATGCTTTTGACAACATGGAAATTGACAAAAAAGGATTAATCGACACCGAAGACCTCATCTCCATGGTTTTGGGATCTGGTGACGACGAATAATTTGTATTTATTTTAAATCAATAACCAGTTTTTAATTTATTTAATATCCCTGATTTTGCCCAACTTGTGTAACAATTGGTAGGTCACAAATGAAAAATGTGATGAAAGTTAATATCGAAATAAAAAGGAAATCCTCTCTATACTTAACATTGTATTTTATTTGTCATTGTACTTATATTATGTCTGAAGCATATTAGGCAAGAAATATCATTATCATATTTACATTAATATATAAGTAATATCATCTTGATTCAATAAAGATGCGGCGTAAAAGATAATAAAATATGGAACTATTATTATTTTATCATCTAACTCATCGTCGGGTGCATAAAAATAAACTAAAATAAAAAATATTAAATATAAACATTAATATTAATTGAAATAATATGCACGTGGACGTGTTATTGTATGATTGAAGCTTTATGATGTTTTTTCCTACCTACTTGCCTTTTTATATATAATACATTAATTATATCTACCTCTATTATAAGTTATGAATCAATTACCATTTTATTATTTAACGAATGTTTATGTTAAAAATATTAAATTTGGGAAATATATATATACTAATAATATATTAGGTACCTACAGTAAATATAACCATTAACCTGCAAGGGCAGGCATTGTTGTCTTTAGGAAAGATTTTTCTAAATTAAAAATAAAATTATTTTTAACATGAATAACATTAACGACGGCACAGCCGTAACGTCTCAGAAAGTCAGAACCATAACCGGGGCTGCTATTGGTGTGCACGCCGATGTCGACCGGAATGAACTGTCACTTTTATATTATTCTTACTCGTTAGGACACCCGTACACCAACCGTTTGGTGGTCGCTAACGTCTGGTCGTTCGTCCAGTAACTTCATAAGTGGCACCCTATGCAATAAATTGTATGGTGTCGGTGTGTTGGCATCAGCTGTTGGCGTTCGAAAGACTTATCTTGTTTACCCACCCGAACATGGACTTCAAGTCCCGGTACTACCTGACATCCCAAAGTAACGTTGGACGTCACCTCAAATACCAACTGTTCTGGACGCGATCCAACTGCTTCTTGTACAAGGCGATGTTGTCCGTCGGCCATTTGGTTCTGTTATAGACGCGACGGAGCCCATGGTGTGCTACGAAAAATACGAGAAGGGGACGATACACATAACTCAGCTACAGTTGCTCTGCCTCACCAGTGTTATCTAGTATCTACTTATATCCATAATTTTTATAACATACTTACATATTATTTTAATTTAATAAAATAATATTTTACGATTATACTAATAGCTGCTATACTTGTCAATTGGCGCCAATGAAGGTAAGTGGTAAGTTCTGTTTTATGAAATCGAACTGCTGCTAATAATAGATCAAGGGGGAGTATGAGGGTGTCCCATATTTGGCTTATTTTTGTCATTTATGTATGAAGAAGCAATGAATGCATGTATAACGTGGTTTGAGAAAAGTCAAAATTCATATCACCCCCTTTCAAAAAAGCTGAGTTGATCAACATGTACAACAACAAGTAGCATATCTATTCTGAAGACGCTAGGTGTTAAAAGACTTACAAAGTACATAGCAGATATACCAAGTATTTTTTTGATCATCCATGCCTTCACATTCTACCTCAAAAAAGTATATCTACATGCTAAAAAAATCATAAATAAAACATACACAAATCGAAAAATAATATATATATATCCTAATGTGATGATACTTTCAAATTCCAATAGTTTAGAAGCAGTTTTTAAAAAAATACTTAAGAGGATAGTCTTTTTGGCCCATTTTTTGGGTAAAAAAAAACTTAAGGTGTGGGAAGTTGATTGAATTATTTTCAAACTTAAAGTTAAGAATTATCTATGTTTGTTGATCTTAAGAATTTTCACAATGTTTCAAATTTTATGAAAGATACAATAAATGGCTATGTAGGTTTAATATACAACTTAAAAATGATCGGTATACTAGTTACTTAGACAGAATGAAGATATATAGTATGGTTAAATTAATAAACATTTTAGACAAAATATCGGAGTGAATGATGTATTGCGAGGATCATTCTGTCAATATTGAATCAAAATCCATTAATTTGATCCAACTTAAGAATTTATATTAAGTTCACTAATAATTAGACCACTTTTGTCCATGGATTATACCTATTTATACATATATTTATTCTACTTTGTATAATCAATGCTAATACCATTAGTGGAATTCCATTGAAAGTATTGGGGGCCGGGCTACTATAATTTCTTTACTCTTCACAAAAAGTTGATAAAAAAATCAAATTATTAAATAGATTTTATTTATAATAAATAAATTGACACCATTCATTTTTCAGTTTAACATTTACAACGATTTATCTGAATCGATATCAAATTATTAACATTTAAAAATCAATTATTTAGGTAACTTGTTGCATATATAAATATAAACAAAAACAAATGTGTTAACGTTTTACATAATATCATAAATATAATTTAAGAAAAACTATTAATTTCAATATAATATCTACTTAGTAGATGAATGATAATAACAAAAAAAATGTCTTTACAAATTATCTAGTGTGTTGTTTGACAGCATTTCCGTTGTCCTGAAAAATATTTAATAAATCATTTTCAGTGATTTCTCATTTAAATTGGCTTACAATATATTTACAATCTTTAGCTATAAAAATTGAAAATGTTATACATTTTTAAATACATAATCATTTTCAATTTGATAAATATTGTCAACATTTGAACTTTAAATGTTTTAAAAAAAAAATCTCGCAGATGTATTTTTAATATTTATCAACTGATATTGTAACAATTCATTGAGCGTCTTGTATTAAATTTTCATGCTTTTTGACCCAACCAATACAATTGTATTGACATTTATAGAAAAAAAATGAAAAAAATTGAAATTGAAATTTTGACCGTGAACAGCTTAAAACGAGTCAAAATATTTTTAAAATTTTACCAAGTATATGAATTGATGAAATAAACATTTGGTGTAAATTTCAAGTGTCTACAGTAATTCGTTTTTGAATAACAACAAAATAAGAAAATCGCTACAAGAGAAATTGAGTGAATATTCAATGCTTAAAAATGTCAACTTCAAACGCTTATAAAAATTTAATTTGACTTTCTAGAAGAAATTTTTTTGATTAAGATAGACAAACTTGTAAGGAATCTTGTACTAAATATAATTTGCTAATTTCGTTATTCTTATAGACAAAATTCTAAGTTTAAACGCTCATAAAAAAATATTGTGGATTTACGCTCAACTTTTTTTTAAATTTCCATTAACAAAAACTTACAAGGAACTTTTTATTACATTTAAGTTTTTTTTACAACATTTTTTTATCAACTTTAATTTAAAAAAAAATCGAACAATATTCGAAAATTTCATAAAATATAACATAAATAGTTAAGCACCAATCAAAATGTGTTGAAAATGTTATGGTATATAGAAAATGCTTACACAAATATTCAGTGAAAATTGCATGTATCTACGGTCATTTTTGTTAGAGTTACACTAAAAACTAAAATATTTTTTCGAAAACTGGTTTTGCGTAAAAATTCCCGTTTTTCCTTAATTTTTTTGTTTTTCCTGATGCTTTTGAAAACTATTGGGAATTTTAAATTTTGAAACCCCAAATGCACCAACTAGATTCACTTTCCTACCAGAAAAGTTGCTGTTGAAGAAAATCGAAGCACTTTTACTGCAAGAATCCATGACGACAGACACACAAAAAAAATTAATTAATAACTATGAAAACACATATCATTGTAAAATCAATACATTCATCGCTCTGCTCAGAATCTAAAATTACAGTAACGATTTTGTTTTTCTTTTGTAATCATAGACCGTATCATAACGTGTAGTACGTATAAGTTTGTATGGTTGTATTTCAAAAACGAGTAACCCCATATAGAGAGTTGATTTATATTTTTAACAAAGAAATTAGTTTAAACTAAAATTTAATAGGAACACTTGAAACCATAATACCTATATATTAAATTGATCCACCGAATTGAAATTGTGAGATTTTTCGATAGTGAGAATCATTGATTATTTCTAACTTTAATAAAATAAAAATAAAAGTTTTATTCAGATTATCTTTTTAGATTTTAGATAATGTACTATTATTACATATTTACATTGTGAAAAACTGTTATTATAATTAAGTCCGAATGCTACAAGTAAATATTCAAACAGTGGATAATAAAACCATACAATGGAAGTATATTCGTGTGTTTATAGTTTATTAAATTAACATTTTCTAGTTACTAATTATTAAGTTATTAATTATTTATTATTTTATTTTTTCCTATTATATATTTTTACTAAACGAATGACTTGTAATATAAATATAAATTTCACTTTATTAAGGGATAATTATTATGTATAATCTCACTTGTTTCAAGACCGACAATCCAAGTTTGGCTGAGTGATGAAAAGGTAGACTCACTGAAATATTAGATACTTTGAGTCTTGGAATATGACCTGTATAACCAGCTATAGGTGGCAATTCAGAAGACACTTTATGATCTAATAAAAAAAATCATAATAATTATATACATAATCATAACATACAATATTATAAGTTACATCAAATTCAATATAAAAAAAAACCAAGAAAAATAAACCATTTCTAACAAGACATAAAATATAATTTAGTTTCGTTTTTTTTTTATTTAATAATATGTTTGCATAATATTTTATTCATTTTGAATATATTTACATTATACCTATTATTCAAATATAGTGGAACTAAATACTTATAAGTATAAAATGAAAACAGTATATTATACTATATAATTATAATAATTTATATGATACACCTATATATATAATATTCTTAATAATGCATAAAAATACTTATACCTATTATATCAGGGGCATTATTTCAATTTTTTTCTGTTATGCAAAGGTTTTAAGTAGACCATTTTGATTTCTCTAGGCCAAATAAAAAAAGATACACAATATACCTTTCTACATTACTCTGCTTTTAATTTTTAAATAGATTATGGACGGCATTCACATAAACAGTAAAAGTTATTTAAAAACTAAAAGTTAATAAATAATTGATAATTTTACCCTTAGAAACCAATAGGCAAGTAATCTATAAAATTAAATCTAGAAGAAAAATTGTATGCAAAAAAAAAATGTACATGATATTTACTTTTATTAATAAATTGTCATTTATATTTTGTTTTTATTACCTTTGTTCTTTTTTTGTATTATTAATTTAAAGTTTCCCTGACGTATGTCATCTAAAGCTTATTGTTAACAGAATTAAATTTTCTAAACATTTGAAAAATAGATAAAAATTAGTATTAAAATATTAGTAATAAAAGATACTATCCACTACGTTTTAACATTTTTACAAATCAGATAACAAAAAAGAAAAAAATTATTATTATAACCAAAGTTTATGGGGAGTCCACGCTTGAGTCGACGTACGGAAGGTTATGCCAGGTAACATGAACAATCATTAAACATTTAACGAATCAATAGTGAGCTAAATGAGCTAATGGTCCTTTAAACATGATTTAGTGGCCCATGATTGGTCCATTAAATTTTATTGGACCGTTAAATTAATACATTTTTCGTGCAACCCGTCATTAGTCCATACAATTCCACACTGCATGCAGCATTTATGTGATTGAAGAAGTTGATTGCTATTTTTTTTATGTAGGTACTCGGTTATTGGGGGTAGCTGGAAATCTTTGTGAAGTACATCATTACGTACAGACCATGGAGCATTAGATATAGTTCTCAGAATTTTGGATTAGAATTCTTGTATTTTGTGTATGTGGGTTTTTGCACAATTTCCCCACACAGGGACTGCGTATAAGAGAAGGTAATAGTCGTAGGATTTGCTTATATAACATAAGAGAACATCTCCAGCTTAGTGATGTTTATCGGTTGATCAATGGGTATAGTACTTTTAGCCTATGGTAGCCTTGTTGTACTTTGGAAGTGATATGCGGACTCCATGTTAGTTTTCTGTCCAAAATTACACCGAGGTATTTGATGTTAGGTGACCAAGGAATACTATTAACGTAAAGTTTTAAATTACCAGGTGTTTTGGGGTGAAGGTTAGTGAAGAGTACCACTGTACTTTTTCGAGGGTTTAAAATTATTTTCCATTTCATTTTTGAATTTTGTTCAGGTGAGCTTAAATATTTTGGGTTATTGTTCGACGTCTTTAGAGCTTGAGTATATGGCACTGTCGTCAACGTAGTGTTACTTCAGTAATGTTCGTTGTAGATGTAGAGAAGTTCGAAATATATAAGTTAAAAAGTAAAGATGACATTTTTGAACCCTGAGGTATTCCTGAATTACTTGGTTTTGTTTCAGATGTAGTCTCGTTGATTTGGACTTTAAAGCAGCGAACTGAGAGGTAGGACTTAATTAGCTTATATATTACAGTTAGTGTTTAATTTTTTAATTTATATACTATTGTTCTAGAAAAAAGTATATTTCAAACATGAGGACACCGATGATTTTTAAGTTTAGAAAATACATTTACAAAGTATTCTAAATTGATATTATTAACTTATTCTTTTACATTAAGTACCATGCTATCGTTTAATCATTTACTCAATTAAGTCTTTCTATGCAGTACGTAAATGTGACTGTCAACAATTTTCAAGCGTTGAAAATAACTGCTACTCAATTAATTGATATAGCGCACTTTTTGTTTATTTAATTGATTTTATAATATCGAAACACAGTTTTATTTTAATTCCAGGTATAGATGATAGAGCATTTTTTCAGCTACGTATTATTGGGACTATTTTAAAATTAAGGGTTGCAGCCAGTGGCCAACCACACACTGAACCCCTTCCCAGTGACATCACAATTTTACATAAAAATATGTATATTTATCATTTGGTATACAATATAGGAAATGGTATGTGGTGCCCATGGCCTATATTCTAGTGTATGTTGCTTTAATAAATAGAAAATTCATAAAAACATAAATTAATTAATAATACCAACTTTATATGAACTTATTAGTATATGGTTTAAAAATCACTATTCATGATAACTCATAAGTCGTAAGTTTTTCAATCCTAAGATTAATCTAACAACAAAATACAAATTTACGAAAAATCCCATGATATATATTTTGATATTTTTACCCTAATTATAATACATTTGTAAAATAATATTTACCTTTAAAATCTTTGCTTCTTTTGTATTTATTCAAAGTATGTTGTAGACGCATGTTGGCTTTATCTGGAACCATTTTTGGAGGCAAAAAACGAACAGGTCTATCGATAGCTTTTCGACTTTGTTCTGACGATAATTTGACAAGCATGTTGTCTTCACATTCTTGAGCAAGTCTACAAAAAGTTTTGCCATACCGAAAATGCATCCCAGGTATATATCCTATAATTAACATAATATATAAGAAATAAATAAAACTTAGTGAATTTATTCGTTTTACAGAGAATAAACACTAAATAAATTTACCGGTATAGCCTAAAATATATCTTTGATAATTATTGATCGTTTCTTGTTCTTTGTCAATATTAATTTTTAAATCACTTGTAATTGGTTTTGGAGGTAATTCATCTAATGGACTATCTCTCAGGTACACATTTTTTAAATCACATTGTTTTAACACTCCTTTCTCACGAAGTTCCTTTAATTTATAAAATCAATTCGAATTATGTACCAATATATTTCTAATTAAAAATCAAAATTTTAGTTTGATAAACTATGTCATAATATTAAATAGGTAATAATTTCAGTATATTCAAACCTGAATAATGTCTAAAGTATTAGCTCCATATCGTTTCCCAAACCGAAATTTCAATGTCGGACAATGGCCAGTGTACCTACAAATTACAAAATAATTTAGATTTTATTTAATCCCTATTATTTTATAATATAAATATTCTTATATTTAAATATATTATTGTGGTTGTTTAAGTATATACAATATATTCAACGTAATACCAAATAAAGAATACGTAATCTAATATTTAAAAGTATGTGAAACGTTATTAACTTAAAACTCAATAATATATGTTAGATGCCTATAAGGGGAACTATATTGATTATAATTTATCAACATCATGCTAAGCTTATCGATTTACCGATCCACCGTGTTGCCTTTAAGGTATACCTTTAATATAGAATAATATACATTTTTACCTGCTACAAGGACTGTAATTATTATGTTTGAATGAATTAAAAGGGAAACAATTCCTATTGATTCAGAAAGTTCATGTTTAAAATATAGATTTAACGAGCTAGTATAGAAGATACGTATTTTTATACATACAAGATACAAGTAATATTTAATAATAAACAATATTTATACGCATGCGCACCCCCATTTTTTCTTTTAATAATGAATTCATTTAAATTCTTATTTTTTAAATTTCCAAATATACCCAGAGATAATTTTAACAAATCAATGAATTTTTTTGTACTGCTTAAGGAGAGATCTGTGGCAATACAAACTTCTGTTTTTCAAATGAAATCCCCCCCCCCCCATCTTTTTTTACTGTAAACTATTAAGTGGATATTTTTTTTGAAAATGTTGATGCACCAATTTCAACATTCAAATAAATAGTTTCTTAGTTATTAAAATGTTTGTGCTAAAAAAAATAGTTCTTAAAAATTGTTTTACAAAAAAATATAATAGGCGTAATATTGGAACTAGTATTTATATACTTGGCCATTTTCACAAATTATTAATGTTGATAGATTTATATTAATGACTAGAAGTTTCAAATCACCACAGCTCCCATGTCTTATAAACCCATTACCATGATATGGCCTTCACCATAATTCAAAAACTACTAGTACGAATTTTGATTTTGATTCGTCGAATTTTTCATAAATATTATTCACTGAATAATTTATAGTTGAAAAAGGTGGTTCTCTTTTGAGAATCAGAAGTTTGTATCTCCACAGGACATTCCTTAAGAAATATAAAAAATCTCGAGAATTCTAAAATATGGTCTAAAAGTATATTTCAAAATTACAAAAATCAAATTTTAAATAACTGGATTATTGAAGAAAGTTTGGGTTATCATGCTTGGTGAGTCACATACTCACATAGTATATTTTGAACATTTATTGCACACATGTAATATATACTTATGAGTTTCTTTGCAAAAAATTATATGCGATTATATGTATAAATATTAATTAGATATAGATAGAGGTAATATGCATAATATTTTAACTATTGACAAAATCCAATTACATAGATAAATAATATAAGTAAATCTAATTTGCACATTTTAATATATAAAGATTTTATAATTATTGAGTAATAATGAAAAGAACTAAGTTATTTGTATACTATTAATCGATAAACTTAAAATAATATGGGTACCTAAACCTCAATCTTATCTAACCTACTAACTATCTTTATTCTATACTAAACCTAATCAAAACATTAATAATTAAGTAGGTATAGTTTTATTTCAAGAACTCAATATTTTATGATATGTCATTACTCATTCGCAATTAATGATTTACCCATAAACAATGGCAGAAAATATACTTTCAAAAAATGTTAGACAGAAATATATACTTAAAATAATAAGATGTTACCTTTACGTTCATGTACCTGATATTTTTTTATAAGCAGATTAAAAGACAGGAAATGCGTACTTTTACATAAACTAGTATTTTTTTAGGGATATGTATATTATGTACTAAAGTGTAATGGCGGAAAGTAAGAGTAGCTGGCACTACCAGTACCAGGGCCAAACAACAATAATAAGCAGTTGACACGGAATGGTAGAAAGGTTTACTTTTGACTGAGATTTCCACCAAGGCTAAATAGAATTGTCACATTTTTTTGTTAAATAATAAATAGTTTAGAATTCGTTTAACGAAGACATAAAACTTTATATCATTTTATATATTTTATAGTATACATTGAAATGCATAGATAAAAATAAGTAAGAACACTATTATATTTTTTTTTAGAAATTTCCACATTGTTAAAATATAAATCAATAACACGCCAACACGCCACACGCGTAGCGAATAAATATGATTTGTGAGAAAACTTCTATGAACCATTACTAATTACATTCGCTATAGTTGCTGACATAATTAGGAAAGTGAGATCTAAGAAAATCATTTGTTATAAAGAATAAAGAGAAAAATGTTCTTTTAATTTACTTGTGCCTATAATATTTTGTTCTTTAAATCTCATGCATAAAACATTAAAACAAGGAAATAAGTACCTAATTAAAATAACTGGACTGTGCAAATGTGCAAAATAAAATATTTTAGTATGTACTTTATTGTTGTATAGTAAGATTAATTATAGATTATAAGTTATAATATGGCTTTGTTTTATACTAAATGTTTTGTACTGATTTAATTGCTATTCAATTTAAATGTCATGAAATATTATGCTAGCTACCTACTACTATGAATAATCATATACACATGTGTTATTGTTATATTAAGTTTTAACAAGAAATTCAAAAATGCAGATATGTGTCATAATGCGTGTGTAATAATATACACAGTACACACAGTGATTTGCCAAGCATGATCACCCCTCAATTCCCTTTTATTCTTTAATAATATTTTTATTTATATTTTGATAAGTGGAATATTAAATATACAGAAATAATATTTTCTTTATTAATTTTTTAATGAGATAACTGTTTTGATAATGTTATACATCTACATCGAAATTTTGAACAAGTAGTTTAAGAATAGCTAAACTATTACTATAGGTTCTATAATAATAATGGTCCATCTTTCATGATAAAAGATTGATCACTTTATCAGAGATTATGGGGTAATTAATTATGTGGTTGTATTTACAAATAAGAAATGTAATGGTTAAATTGTCAAATGATATAAGGGGCGAGCCTATGTTTCGAGAATTATTGTGCATTATTGTTAATAGCATCCCAGTATAAAAAGAATACAACCGTAGCCATGCACCTTGGAGTAACCACTTCGTAAATGGAAGTTTTGAATATGTAGTTATAACTCCTAATAAGTATAGGAAATGGTATTATGATTGTCAAGGCCAGGGTCATATTATAGAATTATACGCTGTTTTGTTCATTTCAAAATTGTTCATTACTGTTGTATACAAAAATTAAATATACCCATAGAGTATATATAGGTATTAGTACAAAACTACATACAATTCGAGTTTAAGTATGATTAAAGAATCATTTTCTATTCGGTAGGTAAAACAAATTATTGTGCAATTATTTAAGTAGTAATTACTTTCCATTCTTAATTTGTACATTACGTAACGGTTTTGAACATTTTTGGAAAATATATTATGAGTAAATTACTAACAATTAAAACATATTTACATACGTGAACGCATACGGTGTGTGGCTTTTAACATATCATATTAGGTACCTACGTAATTATTTATGTATATTTGAACGGATTAAAATGTAAAAATTTAATAATGTAATATGGAGTAGGTACTATAGGCTAGAGTAGGCTGCAATGTTCATATATACTCGTAGGTATAGTCATATTATATAATACATGTAAGCATTAAGCACTAAACAACATGAAATTAAAATGCAGGTTCATATGTTACATATATTCAGGGGATCAAAAAAAAACAAATTAACTAATTATGTATAATAAAAATTCAAAATTCAAAATGATAATAATATTATTAGATACCTAATTCTTTTATTTTTTTTCAATCATATTTTACCTATATAAATTATATTAATTTGAGTATTAAATATCGTAAAATATAGATATTTTATAATAAACATAAATTTGCTTGCATAAAATATTAAACTCCAAAGTATATATGATTTATCAATTATGCCTATCTACAAAAAAAATAGGCTTTAAGTACCTCTGCTATTCTAGAACACGCAGTACACGCACACAAACAGTATAATATAATCGTTTAGTATCGATTTTCATAAGTTCTATTATTCAGGTTTATATAACTACCAATATAAGTTTAACAATTAAAGTATGGAGAAATTATTATATTGAAATATTTTAATTTTTTGAAACTCTCAAATATTATTTACTTTTTATTGCGGTATTATTATGTTAAATGGTGTACTCTTCTCCAGTTGCCAGTACCCACAAGAGGCACAATAATTTTGTTGTTATTATTGATTTCAATATTGAGTTGTAGGCTTATTTTATAAAATGGAAAGCGATATTACTAAAACAAGAATGTCTATAATTGAGAGGAAATTGTAGAATATATTACGTTCTTGAGAATTTAGTCAAAATCGAGGAAATTTTTCTTAAATATTAAATATATACCATGCCGTGTTGGATAGGTCACATACTCGCTTCTCGTGAAGTACCTAAATGATAAAAGTCGAAAAATTAAGTTTTTTTCCTGATTACAGCTAGGTATAAATAATAGGTATGTAATATTATTTTTTATATTTATTAATTCAATTGTGTCAATACACCAGGTATTTTTACAATGTTAGGTACAATGTAATATTATATTATAATATAATACGAGGAAAAGCATTAACTTTCAATATTATTAAGTTCCAATGTTTTGACATTTCTTACCAGAGTATTTTTGATGTATTATATACAAAATCAAAATAGTCTTTAATATTTACAAACAAGCTTTCGATGAATATTTTATGATTCAAACTGTTAAAGCAAGAGAAACTATCGTATTTTCTGGACCAGATTCCATAGATAATACCTATAGATATAGACTATGGTTAACTGTTTTTGTTTACATTATGGCTATCCGTGATCTAACGTAGGCATGCAGTTAGTTTTTGAAGACTGAAATACGTTTGATATTAATAATAATCAGAGATTAAAATTGTTACGTAAAAAGTTCCACTAAAATACTTTTTTTTTTTTTAAATAGACATGCTGTAAAAATGTTATTCGTATAATTTAAAGAGAATATTCTGAAAGAAAGTGTATATAATATTATGCATTATAATGCCCATTATAAGAATATCATAGTTCATAATCTTGTTTAAAAATAAATTAACAATTTTGGTAGGTACCTACCTAAGCTGAAATTATAAGTCAGAAATTCTAAATTATAATTTATTTAAATCACGCAATTGGTTCTAAATAATTATATAATTTAACTACTAAATTAAAACAACAACTAAATAATTTTAAAAAGTCGTGTGGGCGTGTGGCGTATTACCTATTATTTGAATACGTAATGGGCTTATAGATTACCTATAGCAGTAAAATAAAAGTTAATTACCAACATAAAAAAAATAATTTTTATAATACATTTTTATGTCTTAACATTTTAATTTGTGTAATATTTTTAGATCGTTATGAAGGTAGTTTCATAAATGTCAATTCAGATAATTGTCTTATCATATAAAAATACATACTAAATATTAACTAATTAGGGTGAAAAACAATTTTTTTTTTTTTAATATAACATTAATTATAATTTAGAAAACTCCAATTAAATACATAAATAAATAATAATTATTGTCAGCAAATGTATCATATAACAAGGCACCTATGCGGAACCGACATTTTTATTGATTTTTTCACATTATAAATATATAGGACTTTCCATAATATACAGCAATACGTACACCCGTAAGTAATAACTAAAAAAAAACTTACCCCGGTAATAATGCACCATTAGACTGGCTGAAAAGTTTTTCTCGTTCTTTTTTATTGCATTCTATTACCATTTCAAATTCGGTTTTGGCTAAAAAAAAAATGTACGTTGTAAACTAGGTACAGACATCTTAAATAATAATTAATTTTTATTAAAAAATTACCAAAATTAAATTCTATATAACAGTGGAAAAGGAGTTTATTAAAATTTTTCAATTTTCAAATGTACGATATTATTTTTGTTGTACAGATCAATGTTCAACGACAAACAAGCTTCCTCCTTCACTTACTTCTGAGTTCTGAATACAGATTTTCCCTTTTTCCTAGTTTCTGCAGTTCCATACTTCTGCGTATTGGAAGTACGGGTCGAGAGTTTATGTGTTTAACTAAAGCGCCATCTGTTAACATGAAAATTATTATAATATTGCAAAATTGCTTATGTTGGCGTTATTTTAAATCAAATTATTATTTTATCCATCCCGTGGTTGTGCTGTATTGACACTCAACAAGTGATAAAAATATAAAATTCATAATAGTACGATCGTTTGATAAGTATTATCATCACGTACATGTGTCATGTAAGGACTAAAAACAACAGTGAACAAAATGTGAAATTGTCACAGGACACAGACTAGTTCATAAAAAAAGATTAAAGACTAGTGTCTAGTTGTAGACAGTTGTAGACTACAGCGTCATAACCGTACTACACTGCTACTGTAACAGTAGTCTCTGTACTGTTAATTTTACTTTAATAGTAGGTAAGTCAGTTCTCAGTTGCTATAATATTGACCAATATTGAACAATGACAATTTATTACAAGAATATATAAAGTTGAACAATTGTACCGTTTTTTTTTTTATTGTATACTATTTTAAGCACAGGAATGTGAAGTTAATAATCAAACCATTTACTCCTAGTTTATGCTGGTTCAATGAGTTGAATTTATATTTTTTCCAACAATTGGAATGGTTTTTCCAAAGTGTTTGTTGGTGTTAGTCATTCTCCCGTACTTGTACTGTGAAAGTCTGGATGATGGTAAGTGTTTTAATTTAGTTTTAATTTTTAGCTTTATTAGGTGTACAGTATAAACTAAAAAAATACAATTATACCATAAGTGCCAATTTATCCTATTTAATATATCCATATGTGAAAATTAATCGATGTTTTTATAGATGGATTTAACAATATAAATACCAGTGTACAGTTGATTTCAAGGTTTTCCCAAGATCTAATTCATGGCTCAATATTGTTTTCTCAACATTCTTTGATTGATGATATTATTCTAATTTCTGTTTCTTTAAAAAATTTTGGCAACTCATTACAATGGTCTTGGCAAATAAAAGAATTTCCTGTTGATTATACTATTTTTGCTGATCGATGTAGTGACAAAAATCTTGGAAATAAGTAATTTCTTTTGAATAATTTTTGTAAAATGTACATTAAACTAAAAATTATATACATTTATTTATAGATTATTAAATTTTGATGATACATTTGGAGAATTATCATTAGAAAATCATACAAGACTTCAGTTTTCGATTTCGAAATCTATATTAGAACTTACTGGTCCTTTGGGAATTTGGTATAGATCTTTATTGCTTAAAGATAATGCTGGAAATACTATTTGCTCAACAATTATGGTATGTATATTAGTTATTATTAAACATAGTAAAATGTGCATTATTTAATAAATTGCTTTATTTAGTATCTGATATGTAGTAAGTACTAAGTAGGTACTAATTTCAATCTTAATAATAAATATTATATTTGCCTATATACAGTAGGTACCGGGATTAAAATATGTATATATTTATTTATTTTTGTTTTTGTTAGTGTATTTTATTTTATAGTTGGTAAATTAACATTGTATAATTTCACATTGAATGGATGTTGAAATGCAAAACAATATATATAATATTTATTAATAATTTTTCTACAAACGAACAGCTATTTTTAACTTCCAATGGTCTTCAAAATTAAAATTTTGCTGCTGATTTAGTTGACTCCTGCCATTTATATCTCTCTCGTATTTTTGATCTTCTAACTATTTGTTATTAAATTTATAACTACTTTTAATGTCAAATTATGTTAAATTTTTTCCTAAAACCAAAGATTTATATTCTATATTGTAAAAAAAAAAACATAATAACCGAAATTATGAAATATTATTTATAAATATAATAAGTAATAAGGAGATACAAGTATAACTATTTACTCATTATCCCATAAATGTTTGTATATTCATTAATCATTGTTAATCAAAAGTTATTAGCAGGGCTTGTTAGTTCATGCATTTGCATATCAATCAGCTAAGATTTGATGCTAAATAACATAGAAATCCATTTCAAGGTATTATGGTTAAGTTTGTGAAGTTTTGTTATGCATGCATTTAGGTTTTTTTGCATATTTGGCATATTTATGCGTTTTAAAATTTTATGGGGCATATTATCTATAATTTTTATATTAACTTGTATTTTTTCTTATGGAAATACTATGATGAAATTAAAAATGCAATAGGTTATTCTTTTTTAATATATGCAATTTATGAGAATCTTCGCAACATAAAGTGATCAAAAATACTATTTTTCAAAATATGAATGGATATTTCTTGTTATTTTAAAAATTGCTAATGATTTTTTTTTTTTTAATCTACATATTTGTAATTCATATAAATGCATATTTCTGAACTTTTTAAGGCATATTTCGACAGTTTTTAATGCACAAGTACATGCTTATTAGATACTTATTATTTTATTTTGTTTGTTCATAGAATTACTGCTGAATTGAATAATATTTGATTTGTATTGGTAGTTTATTATATTCTAATAATTTATTTAAACATTATAATTTAGCTGTGGACCATTAGATTAACAAATACATATAAATAATTTAATTATTGTGTTGGATTTCATCATTGATTAAACTATAAAAGTATTAAAGTACTTTTGTATTTATTATTATTATTTTTTAAAGATATATTAACTATAATAGAATGATTTAAACATTTAAAATACAAGAGATTAAATTAAATATTTAAATCTGAGTAGCGGGAGAATATTTCTTGGACAGATATCAACTAAACCAGTACCATATTTTTAAACACAATAAATAATTTTTTTATAGGCAAAAGATGATTCAGAATTGCGAGTGGCTGAAGCTAAGTTTCAAACTCGTTTTTTTGGGAGTATTTATATAGTTTGGGTTGGTATATCAAGAAGCTTAATGGATGCTGTCATATTTACTAATATTGAAGATAGAAAAAGTTTAAAAACTGAGCTCACTACCAATAATTGGAAAATATTTTCAACTGATGTTCTTGAATCTATTTTAGGTATGTTACTTATACATGATTGTATTATAATATGATGTTATTTGTATTAAAATAATAATGTGTCTTATACATCTTTCAGATAAGTCAAAACTGAATTGTGATGCTCTTCAGATTTTATATGATCCTGAATCTAATGGCTTAGGTGATTTGGGTGCTAGACTTGGGCCAGTTCAAATTGGGAAAAAATCATTAATACGAGATACTAATCTAGCAACATTTGATATTGAATACGAAAGTAGAGCTTTATACATGGTTTTGTTTGATAGTGAACGTGCTGATAATATTTTAGATTGTGCTCAAATAAATCTAAAAAAAAGCGTTACACTCAAGTAGTTATTTTTATTTCAAATAATTAAATCAGCATATAATACATATAATTAATGCATAACTATCTATTATTTTTTATAGGGGATTTGTCAATGAAACAAAAATAAAACTGGAATTGACATTATGGCAAAAATCAAAATTTGAAGTTACTAATGTTTATAGCAAAGCTGATTCAATTCAAAATGATATAACTTTAAGGTTACATGAAATGCCATCAATTCCAAAAACATATAAGACATCATCAAATATACATAATAATTGCTTGGGCGTTGGTAACATTTTTAATCCAACTGGTAAATCATTTCCTGCTGAAGCTGAAAGGCTTACTCAAGATAAATATGCTATTGGTGACTTAAGCGGAAAATACAATTATGATAGTTCTAGCTGGGATTCATATTTACCTCTATTTGGAAGCAATAGTGTTATTCATAGATCATTAGTTTTATACATGTAAATAATATATCAAATTGTATTTTATATAGAATTAATGTTATATTTTTTATTTCAGAAATAAGGACATTTTGACTTGCACTACACTGTTACCATTTACTGGTCCAAATTCTCAAACTAAAGTAGCTTACTTAACATCAGAAGCAATTTTTCGCTATCCTCTAGTTGGTAGAATTGTATTTCGACAACCTATTGACATTGGAGCTACCGAAACTGTAATAATAGTTGAAAGTTTAGTTCATGCAGATGGTACAACACTTAAAGATTCAGACGAACATAGGTGGTCTATAAATGTACAACCACCTGGAAAAGACTTTTATAATTGGATGGATCGATGTAAAAGTGCAGGTCCTATATATGATCCTCACAAGGTATTATTAATTTATATGATAATAAAATTCTGTGCAATTAGTAACTATTTTCAAAAATAGGTTGTGAAAAACAATATGACATCTTTCTGCAGTAAGTCCCTTAAATACTGCAGTGTAGGTGATTTATCTTCTCGTTTGAATAGTTTGTCGATAGCCGGTAATAAATTAAACGCAATAGGTGTGAGTAGACATATGTTTGTGGATGAATATATGTCATTGTTTGGAATAAATTCAATTATTGGTAAATCACTGGTGATTTATGGTGATCATGGTCCAGAAGCCCGTGGGGATCGTTTAGCTTGTTCAAAGTAATTTTACAATTGAAAATAATATGGTGGATGTATTTTATAATTAACATATTTTGCACGATATTTATATTCATTTTAAACCTTAATTTATTATTAGTTAGGTAAATGGACACTATTGAGTAGAACAATTTTATTACAGGTGGTTGGCTGTATAATAAAATATTTGAGGAATTGGTTAAATAAATAAATTAGTATATTATAATGTATTATAAGTTTAATTACAATTGTTAAATACTAATTTCAGAATAGAAAAGGTATGGCATCGAAAAGCTGTAGTAAAGGATTGGTACAGCGATACTGACACAAATTCTGTTTCTGGTAAAATTGAATTATTCCAACTTTCTGAGTATGACCCAGTTGATTTTGAGATAAACCTCCAAGGCGTACAAGGCGGTTATGATTATTATGTTTATTCAGTAAGTCTATGATAAATTAATTTCTTGAATATACATTTTATAATTTGTGATTTAATATTTATACTTCAATAGAATTCAGTTGACGGTGGTTTAGACTTACCATGTGAGAGTTCAAATTTATATGAAATTTGGGATCCATGGAATAATAAAGAGACTGGAG